ACAATGCTGGCAGCCTCAGTTTGCTGTAGTTCGATCCCCACAACACTCCAGCCATGCAAAAGTGCCCTGAAGGCATTCAAGGAGCAAACCCCCCCCCAAAAAAAATACCTTATCTTATTTTCATCTTACCTGTAAGTTTTAAATTAAGTCTGTTCAGATGTGTGTGTATCTGATTAATGTATATGTCTTATATATATGGCTTATGTTGTCCTACTACTGCAAAATATTAGGAGATGGTGAACTGTTATAAATTAACTTCTTTGGCAGGCATGGAGGCACATATGTGTAGTCTCAGTACTTGGAAGGCTTAGGCAGAAAGATTGTGAGTTCAATTGTAAGAACAGGCCATTCTAGCTACCTAGCAAGAGCCTCTCTGCCTAGATAGATAAATTAAATAACTTGTAATTTCTATATGAATTAAAAAATTATAAATCTGGCTCTATTCTTTAGTATGGTCTTCAATTTGGGCCATTTATAACCGTGACAGAACCTTTTAGAGCCTTCAGAGATAACAGACAGCCCACAGCCCGCTGCAGCACAGGAGCCATTGGTTTCCTCCCTTGATTTGTAATATTTGAAATTAAAGGCTAGAATCATTTCTGTTAATGATAGTTTTCAGAATATGGGAAGCCAGAGGATATAAAAGAACTTTCAATTTCTCTGTGCTATCTATGTTCCTGTTTACAGACCTATTTATCATAGATGTCATAAAATAATTAATTTTGAGCTTTCCTGTAACTCTGAATTCTTTAGGAGATAACATGAAAAAGGAAAGTCTGAAAAGTTTTCTATAATGTTTTACTTATTTCTGTGTGTAACCTGTTTGATCTGTTAAAATTCTTAATTCCATGTGGTTTTATTACTGAAGATGCCCATTTTACAAAACTACTGAATTTAGTGAACCTAGCACACAGGTCTGACTCCAAGATTCTCAATAAAACCTATGTATGTGAATCCCCCCAACTTCATACTTTCTTAGGCAATTTGAGTAATTATAGTAATTGTCTGGGTAATTTATAACTACCTCATATGTTGCCACCAAAAAATTGATCAGAATCTCTTTCAAAAAATCTGTCTGCTAGGATTGAAGCACCTAAGGTATCTTTGAAAGAGCTAAAATTCATCTACAGAGAGTCTGATATACAGTGGTGTTTGGCTGAAATTTATTTTTCAGAAGGCACTTCATGAGTTTCCCTTCTCAGAGCCATTAGTCCCTTTCCGAGGAGATACCGCAAGCAAAGTAAAAGCTGCCTCCCCAAAAAGTCCCAGCGCCGCCCTGAACGAGAGCCTGGTGGAGTGCCCCAAGTGCAGCGCGCAGTACCCCGCCACCGAGCACCGGGAGCTGCTTGTCCACGTCGAGTACTGTTCACAGTAGCCTGTGGTCCCCTGGTTTGTGCCGGAAGATTCCGTGTTGCGTCTTCTGCTGTTTGCTTATGGGCGCTCCCAATTACCCACTCCACCTCTGGCTTAAAAACGGCTTATCTGCCTTTGACACTGGGCGTGTGAATGAATCATTGCGTGTTTGGCTGCTTCGCATTTTTCTTTACGGGATTTCTCCGAGGGATGGCTTATCACCAGGCTGCAGTGACAGCATGTGCTGAGCAGTGTGCACCGAGACTACTAAGGTTTTGCATGGATGAAGAGCTTGATAAAGAAAAGATAGTTTGGGTGGTTGGTTATGGGTTAAATCTTTTATACCAGACAAAAGAATATACTATGTGGGATTTTTAAAAATCAAAGATAATTAACTGTTGATATTTTATATCTAAGCTCTTATAGCAACAATTCTAATTTTAATAACCATTGGTTCATTTTTTCTTTGCTGTTATTGAGCAGTTAATACAAATGTTGCGAATTTTTATAATCCTTATTGCTGCTTGCTTTTGAAGCTGTAAACCCAACTATATACAAAGAACAAAACTGATTGTGCTTGAGGAATACTCTTGGTACTAGCCACATACAATGTTTTCTCTCATGGTGTCTAAATATAACTTTTAACTTGAAGGCACGCATTGGTCAGGGAAGCTGGCTAAAACTGACTTTAACAACTGTCTAACCTTCTTTGATTTGGAGGTATTTTCTTTTTTATTATGTCTGGCACTCCTACATCTGTGTAATGTGATTCTTAGATATTTTCTCAATAGATATATTTATACATGCTTTGTATAAACCTAAAAAAGAACTGTTTTTTTTTTTTTAAAATTCAGATTTTGCTCCCATGTTTAACACTGGGCTACTTTTAACAATATAAAAGAGAAAAGAATAAAATTATTTAATAACTTGGACTCTGTCTAGTTTATGTGTATATACATTAGCTACTCTAACATTTCTACCCGGAGAGGAGTGGTGGAGGTTTCAAAGTAACATGTACTGTACAATGACAAGGTCATTAAGAAAATATCAAAATGAGCCACTCTGTGAAAGTGGCAAAAGGAGCAAATGGATGCTTGTAGTCATCTCTGTTGAACAGATACTCTTGACCAATAAACCTGATTTTTTACTTACTCATTATAAAGACAGAACCATAAGCATGCTCAGTCATACACTTGGAAGTCTTTTGATCTTAGAAATTATATAGCTGTTATGAAAATAAAATTTTTCCTTTATGTTAATAATGCCCACTACATGATATCTTCAGCCACAGTTAAACAAAAGGTACAGGGGGGCCGGGGAGATGGCTCAGTGGAATAAGCGCTTCCCTGGCAAGCGCAAGGGCCTGAGTTCAATCCCTGGTTCCACAAAAAATAAAAGAAACAAAAGGTACAGAAATACTCATCAGATGACTCTTGTTTTGCCCTACAATGTTGCAGTGAAGACCACAGTATTTAATTAAGAAACTTGTTCCCCTCACACCTTTAAGCTGGCCAGGTACTATTTCTAGTCTATGGGGACATGGGAAATGTATGGGTCATTCATAGGGAAGAGGAATCAGACGCGGAGCCTGGGCCTTGGGGCCCTTCCTGCGTGGACGTGGGATGACTGGCTAGGATGTAGCCACAGCAGAAGCTCGGCCACGAATCTGACTCCAGGAGGTGAAGGGTGTTCTGGAGCGCTTCTCATGTGCCGCCTATGGTTCACTGGAGGGCTGGAGTTATGAGCATTCCCTGCCCACTTGAGCCACCAACATCCGGGTGCCAATAATGTTAAAAAGACATTTTGGAAATATGTCAAGAAAATTGGGCATTTCTGCTGTGAAGCTCTCTCAACATATAGGGGTTTTATACATTTCGGATTAACAAATAGTTTAGAAAGAATGCTTTCCTGCAGTGATTTATTGAAACAAGGATCAATAAAGGATATGTCTCAGACTTGAAAATCTTTAGTTTTCCTAAGACCACTTTGTTTTCTTTTCCATCTTTAAGTGAGTAGCCACTAAGTAGGGTGTGATGGGTGGGGGTGGGAGTCTAAAAACCGTGCACCACGCTATGGTAGACATCTACCTGCACTTCCTGTTCTCTTCCCTGCAATTCTGAAAAAGAGTTCCTGAACCAGAGCTGTTTTGAAGATAAAGCAAAGACTTAACAGAGATTACAGTTTACCCAAGGTTACCTAATGAATTGTAAAAAAAAGTGTGTCTCAATTAGTTTGTCCTCTTTTTTCCACTGTGCTGTTACAGCATTTCCCACCAACAAATGCTGGGCCAGGATTCTTTGTCTCTGTTGCTTCTCAATATTTAACACACAATAAGTTGTACAAATCAAGGAGTTTTGACAAATAAGTACATCTTTGTGATCATCAGCCAAATACAGTTCTAGATGACTTCTGTTGCCATCCCTGGAAGCTTAGTTAATTCCTTTTCTAGTCCACAATCTCTTCTCAGATAAGTCTTAATTCCTTAAGGAAATGGAATTTTGAAACTCATAAAGTGGAAGTATATTTTTGTGTTTGGCTTCTTTGGATCGCCAGTGCTCTGAGACTCTTGTGTTGTGTGTATAAGTAATTTAGCTTTTCTAATAATAATATTTCATTGTATAAATACACCGTAATTTGCTATTCCATTCTTTTGTTAAGGAACGTGCACGTTTTTATGGCGCTGGGATGGAATCCAAAGCCTCACACCCTCGGCAACCACGCTGCGCCCTTTTCAAGTATTTTTGTGGACCTGTTTTCATTTCTCTTAAGGAGACACTTGGAAATGAAATTACTGGGCTACAAGGTAGCTAATATTTATTTTTATTGAAAACTTGTCAAAGAACCAGACTGAAGAAACCCATTTCTCCAGTGTACCTCCATGAGAAAGATCCATGTCATGTAATGGATGGTCAGCAACTTTGTCAGAAACATAGCAGTGACTTCCATTGCACTAACTTAATATCTTTCCATGTAAGTAAAATCTTCAGGCCCAGATCCAACTCCCAACCCTCAAGGCAGGCCACATCCCATTCTCTGCAGTTCTGGTTTATCCCAGAATACTTTTGAGAATAAGGGGCACCTCCCCTGACAGGGCCTGGTGGTTTGCATGATAGGCAGGCAGGCCAGCCTCTGGCTGTGAGGCTGGTAGAGCTGCCCAGCTCCAGAGCATGGCCAAGGACAAGGAGTACGGTGGCTGATCTTTCAGATTTTCCAAGAGAAACCTGGAATTCTTAAATATGAAATCTCCCAATTTTTAAATGTCAGAAACTAATTTTAACAGTGTGGGCCAAAACATACTTCTAGTTTATGTGCCTAAAGAGCAAAAGAAAGAGTGACTAGCTCTGTCTGAGGTGGAGAAAAAAAAAACAAGGAGTGCTCAGTCCTTGCCTGCTCTCTGAGCACTGAGGTGTCCCTGCTTCCAGGCCCTTTATTGGGTGTAATTTATACAGCAGTCACAGTGTCAGTGTAACATGGGTCAAACTATAATCAATTCAAAGGACTACTAGCATAAGGGCCGGCAAGAGATCTCAGCAGACTAAGCACCTGCTTTGGCAAGCTCAAGGACCAGGGTTCGATCCCCAAACCCTCATGCCTCATCAGCCCTGCCCTGGGGGCATTTTGAGCCAGCTACTGAGTCTGGGCAGGGTGGCGCATGCCTTTAATCCCAACTCTGGGGAGGCTGAAAACAGGAGGATTACTACAAACCAGAGCTATGTAATGAGACCCCGTGCCAAATACACAAATGAAAGAAAGGAAAAGAATTACAAGAATAGCCACTTAGCTAATACTGATCCAATAGAGAAATAAGTCGCACCGCAAGGATTCATGGGAAGAACAAAGGCATTCTGGGGAAGGGATGGGCTCACGTTCTGCAGTCACCCACATGGGCAAATGGACTTCCTAGATCAGGTGGTGCTAATTATAGTAAAAGCCCAAGTGATTGTTTATCCTTTAGAGAAGGAGGTGGGCCATTGCATCTTTATCTTGAGGCCTAGCTTCCTCCAGAGGCACCTCCAGTCATAATGCTAATGTCTTTACTTTTCTGCTGATTTCCTTAAGAGCCTAATACTTCTCTGATTATATTAATTTCAATCTAAACTTAGCTGCCTATAATAAATAGATGCCTATAATTATCAATTTATTATGCCTATAATAAAAAGATACATTTTTGTTCACAGTCATGTTGGTCAGAACTTGGTCCTATAGCTCCATACACCTCAAAAGTGGCTGGCCAGCGAGCAGCCCAGGCAAGGAGACAGTGTGGTGAGCACAGAGCTCCAGACGCCGCACATGGCCGCCCCCAGATCTTGGGAAGACAGAGGCTTGCGAGGGGCTGCTGGGCGCAAGTCTGTGTCCCCTTCCCTGCACTTCAGGCCAGACAGTGGTGGATCATGTTCGATAGATGTTTTTAGATGAAGTGACTGAAGGTCTTTTAGAAATCATGAGCTCAGCCATCTGTGTCTAAGAAACATCTGGCTTCTACATTTAGACTTTCCAGTAGAATCAACCAGAACGAAAACTATGGTTCAAACTTTAACAAGCATGGGTGCAAAAGAGCCCATAAAGCCACCTGAGATACGTGGCTATAAAGGAAGTAAATATTTGATCAGTGACATCAACTGAAGTAAAACATTTTTTTAAAAAAAACAGACTTTTTAGAAACTCATTTACAATACCTTAAATTGTCTGAGTTTCAGAGTTTAACTGAGACTATGTCTCCAAGAATGAAAACATTGAGAGTCCCCTCTACACCTAGAAAAGGCATCACAGTGACAGTGCCTGAGGCAAGGGGTCAAAAGACAAGATACTATGAGCTAGACTCTAAGAACACGTGATGACTGTGTCTCTTGAGATGACTTGGTACATATACACAACACATCATACTTTCTTTTTTTAAATCCCATCTCCCCCTTTCTCTTCTTCCCTCCATCTCTTGGTTCTCTTCTTGTATACTAAAGACCTATTCATTATTTCCTATTGTCTATCTTTTTTAAATCTTGTATTTATTCAGTACAGTGCCTCGCTATGCAGCTAGACTCTTAGTGACCCTTGTAGTGATCCTCCTGTCTCAGCCTCCCCAGTGCTGAAATTACAGGAGCGCACCACCAAGCCCAGTTTCGGGCCAGCATGGCATGCAGTACTGGGGATCGAACCCAGGTCTTTGCACTTGCCAGGCAGGTGCTTAGATTGTCAAGCTAACTCCCCAGCCCCTATTGTCTGTCTTTTATTTTGCTTTTATGTATTAGGTTTGTCTTATGAGCGAAAGCATATGATAGTTAAGGTTGTGTGATTTACTGCGCTTAACATTCTGATCTCAAGGTGCAACCAAAGGACTTGTGTATCTTTTTGTTCCACTGTGTATGCATACCAAATTTTCTTCATCCCTTCATCTGTTAATGGATAGAGGCTACTTCTGAGATTTGGCTAGTGTGACTTGTGCTGCTATAAATGTGACTGTGCATGTATCACTATAATACTATGTCTTTAAGTCTTTTAGTAGGATACCTAGAAGGGAATAGCTGGATCAAACAGAAGTTCTAGTTTTACTTTTCTTTTTTTTTTTTTTTTGAGAAATCTCCATACTGATTTCCATAATATTTATACTAGTTTACATTCCCACCAACAGTGAAGAATGGTTTCTTTTTTCCTGCAGCCTCTCCTGCATTTGTTATTAGACTTCTTGATGAAAGCTGTTCTTTCTGGAGTGAGAGAAAATATTAATTTTGTTTTAATTTGAGTTTTTCAAATGGCTATTTTTGAGCATGTTGAACATTTTTGGACATATTTATTGGCCATTTGTACTTAAGCTGAGAAGTGTCTATTCATTTCAGTTGCC